TCTATGACCACATCACTTGGTCAAAGGGCTACATGTGGGCCAGTCACGTGGCATTCAAGGCATCTGCCTTGGAATCTGAGGAGGGCCTCGAGAACTTCAAGCAATCCATCAAGGATGCTATGCATCACGCTGGCCTGCACATCCTCGAATCTTTGATCCAGGCCTGCATCAAGCTGGGAATCTCAGGCAAGGCACCAATGAATCAAGAGGAACTCCCTATCGTGGCCACATAGACCATGCCAAGTACATCTTGTCCAACATGGTAGAATCGCTTAGGGACCATCATCCGAAAAGCCCAACATCTCGCCCTTGCGTCCCTGGGCATCAGGATGAAATCACTGGCAATCACGATATGGAGGTTGATCTTGGTGTGGTATCTGGAGGAGACAATCAAGAAGAAGATCTCACCATCGAGAATGAAGATGGCACGATCATGGTTCCCATCAGCTACCTGGCAGTTAACCAACCATCTGGGCCGACCATCTGAGGATCCGGAAGTAGCATCGAGATCGAGAGACGCCCGGGGAAGTAATATCCTAGGATGTAACCGACATCAACTGTACAGACTTTTGCGCGTCAAAGTGGCCATCTAATGCTTATGGATCTTTTCAGAGCACCACCGGTAGTGATCATATTTCAACATCAATTTCAGTTGTATAGATTGTTAGCATCAGTTGTGGCATCAAAGGTTAAAACATCTTTATGCCAAGGCGGCGTGTTAACATACGTGCATCCTCATGTACGTCATGCAGGGTATATCGGAGACACATCATGTGTCAACGACATCTGGGCTCATCAGGGCACTTGTGCAGTTCCATCAGTGGAAAACATCAGAGAGCCAACTGCCTGCATCAGTGACACATCGCTCTGTGTTTTAACACATCTATCTATCGTTTTAACACATCTATCTATGTATCTATCTATCTATCTATCTGTCTATCTATCTATCTATCTGTCTGTCTGTCTATCTATCTATCTAATCTATCTATCTATCTATCTATCTATCTATCTGTCCATCCATCCATCCATCCATCCATCCATCCATCCATCCATCCATCCATCCATCCATCCTATCTATCCATCCATCCTATCTATCCATCCTATCTATCCATCCTATCTATCTATCTATCTATCTATCTATCTATCTAATCTTTCTTTTCTTTTCTTATCTTATCTTATCTTTCTATCTATCTATCTATCTATCTTATCTTTTCTTTTCTTTTCTTTTCTTATCTATCTATCCTATCTATCTATCCTATCTATCTATCCTATCTATCTATCTATCTATCTATCTATCTATCTATCTATCTATCTATCTATCCTATCTATCTAATCTATCTAATCTATCTAATCTATCTAATCTATCTAATCTATCTAATCTATCTAATCTATCTAATCTATCTAATCTATCTATCTATCTATCTATCTATCTATCTATCTATCTATCTATCTATCCATTTTTTGTGCGTGCATTCATTAATTTAGTTTGTATCTATTTATCAATTTATTTATACCAAGAGTTTCTAGGCCGCAACCTATATTCCCTCCCCGTTCAGTCCTCAAAACAGGTGTTCCAAAAATTCGACCGCGAGCGCGCTGCGGCGCAGGCATGTCTGAAGTGATGGCCCACATCTTGAGCCAAAGCGCTGCTGAGTTCAGACTGGGCACCCATAGATGTTGGACAAATTTGCGCGTTTTTGCTGAGATAAGAACAAGACACAAAAGGTTGGGGGCATTCAATTCTCAGCAAGGGTGAAGATGAGAAAAAGGCACAGCACACTTAAAAACAAGTCTTTGTTAGCTGAAGCAGCAAAAGCTGCAAAGTGTTTTACAGGGTGCTCGCAACCAAATTCCTTGTGTTGATGGCACACATTGGCTTTAAAAAGAAAGAAACTGGGTCAGGTTCAGCTACAGCGTTTCAAACCACCAACAAACCACAAGCCCACAATAGGCTCATGGGTGCCTCTCCAGCTCGCTACATATGGCACCTGCAACTGGTTCCGTGTTGCAGGCTGCATGTGTGCCGCAATGTGACCCTCTAAGTGCTTTTTGTGCTTCTGGAGGAAAAACGTTTATGCCTTTGGCTACAATGTGATATCAAGCCAATACTTCAAAGCTAATCACATCAAGGTAAGTTCTTTCTCCTTCTCGAGACCCCAAGTATGATTGATGTGTTGCAGCCAAAAACTGCTCAAGCACTCACCTGACCTTTTTTTGCCAGGGCCTCCACCTGCCTCTGCTATCCTGTGGTATCCTCTGGTATCCTCTTGTTGCCCAGTTCCGAACTTCATCCAGTCTTCATCCCCTCTCCAACCTCCGCACTTGGTGCGACGACTCTCGAGGCGAGCCAACTCAGCCCGTTGAGCATGAGAACAGCACCAGCTGGGCACCTGAGTCAACGTAGATCTGCTGGAGCCCCTGATAGAGATTGACAATATTATGATGTTTATGATACTGGACTGGATCCCTCAATCACCATGGATGTGTACATGTGCGAGTTGTACATATACGCGCGTGTTTCAGAAAAAATCGAAGTTTGATAAACCCCACGTGCCATCGGCCATGCACACTGGAACTGGCTACAACAGGCTGGTGCAAGGTTTGCACACAACATACAGTACATGCATACTGAACTCAAGCATTCACAGAGCCCAAGGTAACACATCGAAATCAAAAAGTGTTCTCAACAGATTCCAATAAATATATATATGTGTGTGTGTGCGTGTGTGCGTGTATGTATATGTGTGAACATATTATATATATATATACAGTATGCGTGTGTGTGTACGTATATGTGTGAAAATATTATATATATACAGTATGCGTGTGTGTGTATGTATGTTTATCTATTTTTTGTGTATGTATGAATGTATGTGCATGTACGTGCATGTATGTGCATGTATGTGCATGTATGTGCACGTATGTGCATGTGTGTGTGCATGTATGTGCATGTATGTGCATGTATGTGCATGTATGTGCATGTATGTGCATGTACGTGCATGTATATGCATGTATGTGCATGCATGTGCATGTATGTGCATGTACGTGCATGTATGTGCATGCATGCATGCAGGTAGCTATGTAGGTGTGTAGGTAGGTAGGTAGGTAGGTAGGTAGGTAGGTAGGTAGGTAGGTATGTATGTATGTGTGTCTGTAATGTATGAATATATGAATGTATGAATGTATGGATGAATGAATGATTGAATGAATGAATGTATGTATGTATGTATGTGTATGTATGTGTATGTATGTGTCTGTATGTGTCTGTATGTGTCTGTATGTGTCTGTATGTGTCTGTATGTGTCTGTATGTGTCTGTATGTGTCTGTATGTGTCTGTATGTGTCTGTATGCGTATGTATGTGTATGTATGTGTCTGTATATGTCTGTATGTGTATGTATGTGTATGTATGTGTATGTATGTGTATGTATGTGTATGTATGTGTATGTATGTGTATGTATGTGTATGTATGTGTATGTATGTGTATGTATGCGTATGTATGGGTATGTGTGTGTGTGTGTATGTGTATGTATGTGTATGTATGTGTATGTATGTGTATGTATATGTATGTATGTGTATGTGTATGTGTATGTGAATGTATCTATCTATATATGTATGTATGTCCGTAGGTATGTATGTGTGTGTATGTCTCTCTGTCTGTCTGTCTGTCTGCCTGCCTGCCTGCCTGCCTGGCTGGCTGTCTGTCTGTCTGTCTGTCTGCATGCATGCATGCAATGCATGCAATGTATGTATGTATCAATGTATGTATGTATGTATGTATGTATGTGTGTATGTGTGTATGTATGTGTGTGTGTATGTATGTATGTATGTGTGTATGTTATGTATGTATGATTATGTATGTATGATTATGTATGTATGATTATGTATGTATGATTATGTATGTATGATTATGTATGTATGATTATGTATGTATGATTATGTATGTATGATTATGTATGTATGATTATGTATGTATGATTATGTATGCATGATTATGTATGTATGATTATGTATGTATGATTATGTATGTATGATTATGTATGTATGATTATGTATGTATGATTATGTATGTATGATTATGTATGTCTGATTATGTATGTCTGATTATGTATGTCTGATTATGTATGTATGATTATGTATGTCTGATTATGTATGTCTGATTATGTATGTCTGATTATGTATGTCTGATTATGTATGTATGATTATGTATGTATGATTATGTATGTATGATTATGTATGTATGATTATGTATGTATGATTATGTATGTATGATTGTGTATGTATGATTATGTATGTATGATTATGTATGTATGATTATGTATGTATGGTTATGTATGTATGATTATGTATGTATGATTATGTATGTATGATTATGTATGTATGATTATGTATGTATGATTATGTATGTATGATTATGTATGTATGATTATGTATGTATGATTATGTATGTGTGTATGTATGTACGTACGTGTGTATGTATGTATGTACGTACGTACGTATGTATGTGTGTCTGTGTGTATGTGTGTATGTGTGTATGTCATGAGTCAGATGTGTGTGTGTGTGTCGTATCCATCCTCAAACACCACTTCAATGTAAACAACCATCTCTCAACTGGTTGCGACCATGGTGCAGATTGCCACCTCCGCAGCGCGCACTGCGCCACTGTAAGCTGCGAGGTAGCTGCACAGGCAGCATCGTGTGCCTTCGCAAATGGAGGATCAAAACGCAACGACTGGAATGATTTGAAGATGATTTGTTTGCTTTGTTTTGGTTGGATATATTAATATATAGAAGAATTTAATTTTGTAATTTGTAGTATAATTTCTTGTATTTTTCCCGAATGCGTAGCAAGGGTTCCCGTTTCACTCTGGGGGTCTGGGGGTTGAGGGTGTGTTCGCTCGACGTTGCGTTCACGTTCGCAACCGTTCGCAACCGTCCGCAACCGTCCGCAACCGTTCGCGCGATCCCCGTATGGCCTTGCCTATGGTAAGTTCTGCAGGAGGTGTCATTTTTGGAGGTTTCAAACGTCTCGTTGCTTCGTTTCGCGTGGCAGGCGTGGCACTTCGTGACATTCAGAGGTGTTTTGTAACGTGTCGAAAACCTTTTTGTGTGGCAGGCGCAATACTTTTGCGACGTTTTCAGAAGATGTCTTGCAGTTTTCGTGGCAGGCGCAGCACTTTGGACGTGTCCATCGTCATTTTTCGTGGCAGGCGCAGCATTTTAGACGTGTCATGTTGAGTGTTTTTTGCAAATCGCATTGGCAGGGCTGCGTCAAGTGGCGACAAGTTGCAAATTCCGTGGCAGGCGTGGCATTTTGTGAGATGTGCTGAAAATTGACGGAAGCCTCGCACGAAACATCGATTTTGAGCTGGCAAATTTAAGAAGGTTCCTAAGAAAACTCGTAGGAAAACATCGATTCTGAGGCTGCAAAGTGTCAAAATTGGAGGAAGTCTCGCACGAAATGCTTGTTTTGGTGCTCCCACGCGTCTCGTTTCGAGTCTCTGGTTTTCCTGTGGCTTCGCCGTGTCTATGGGGGAAGCCGCAAGACCTCTCCTTTTCGAAGGTTTCCAAGCAGGTTGTCATGTCGTTTTGCGTGGCAGGCGTGGCACTTTGTGACGTTCCAACCTGTTTGATAACGTGCCGAAAATGTCAAAATTGGAGGATTTCTCGCACGAAATGCTTGTTTTTCTGCATCCACGTGTCTCGTCTCGAGTCGCTGGTTTTCCTGTGGCTTCGCCGAGTCTATGGGGGAAGCCGCAAAACCACACTTTACACTCTACACGTTTACACACTCCACACTCCTTACTCCACACTTGACACTCCACACTCCACACTCTACACTCCACACTCCACACTCTACACTTTCCACTTTCCACTTTCCACTCCACACTCCACACTCTACACTCCACACTCCACACTTTACACGTTACACTTTACACTTTACACTCCTCACTCCGCACTCCACACTCTACACTTTCCACTTTCCACTCCACACTCCACACTCCACACTTTACACTTTACACTCCGCACTCCTCACTTTACACTCCACACTCCACACTCTACACTCTCCACTTTCCACTCCACACTCCACACTCCACACTCTACACTCCACACTCCACACTTTACACTTTACACTCCTCACTCCACACTCTACACTTTCCACCCCACACTCCACACTCTACACTTTATACTCCACACTCCACACTTTACACTCCACACTCTACACTTTACACTTCACAGGCTACACTCCACACTGCAGACTGGTAACAGGGGAAATATGTACAAAACTGTTCAAATAAACTATTGCAGAAAAGTGTTCTGCGTGATTGCATATCCATGTGTTTTGACATCTGTACCATTAACATACGTGTGAGCATTCGGGTTCGTGGGCTGCATCTTGTTTTATATTGTAATATAATTTAATATAATATTTAAAAAAACATAAATATATAAATATAATTTTAAATATTAGAATTTAGTGTAGTATAGCCTAGTGCGTTGGAGTTAGTGAAGTGTAGTTGCTGTTATAATTATAACTGTAGTTATTGTTGTAGTAATATTTATAATTATGTAATTAGTGGAGTCTCCACTTCAATGGAGAAATGTGTACTGTACAGCCAGTAGGCTAAGCCCATCTTAGCCCCTTGCCCCCTGTATGGCAGCAGCTTGCTCGGTGTCTTTCTCGGCATTCAGGGCTTCGAACAGGGACATGCCGGTCTGGCACAGAGAGGTTCGTGGCTGGGGTATTGTTGGGTGATGGTGCGGTCAGAGTCTCCGAGGCTATTTGCACATTCGCAAACATGTTCCGAATCTTAACCATATTAACTCATTAACCATACTTAACCGACCTCCTACAGCAGGAAACCATGGGTGGCCGTTGTAGATATTCAATGCTCCGTCTGCCTTGCCACTCCCCAGTGATGCTGGCCTGGTTGGGATCCCAAAAGACATCGCCAAAGGGATCCAGAAAAAGCACCTCAGGACTGTGAGACCTAAGCGGACCTAAGACCTAAGGACCTAAAAGGACCTTAAGCAGTGGCAATCTAACAGAGGTCTAAGGCCATCATCCCCCAGTCCCAGGCAAAACTCAGATCGCACCTGCCGGAAGCGCCGAGGCAGCTGGGCCAGCTTCTCCTCTGCACCACTGGGCCAAGCGATGCGCAACCAGAGCCTGAAATCGGAAAAATTAGCAGGGCCTTGGATTATGTGGGGCATCCACCGAAACTTCATGGAAATCATCCATCATGCAGTTGCATGCTCAAGACTCTGAAGAGCCCTGCACTGTTTCAAATTCCACAGTTTGGCATGGATGTTCCAGCAGCATCGGATAAAATAGGCGCTTAGACCAGCTATGGACAATTTTCCTTCTACAAAAGCGGCACTGGCCACAAAAAAAATTGCATCCACTGATGCATCAAGAGTTGCGTGGTGATTTCAACGACTCAGACGGGAGGCTCCAGCCATATGGCGTGGCAAAGGAAGCTGATGGGCGAGAGTCGGAAGTCCTGACCAGATGTTTCAAAGCTTAGAGGCTTAGAGGACATCAAAGATCTTGAGCTCAACTGCCACTCGTTCTCATGTCTGCAACTGGTCGCCAAATCTAGAATGGATTCACTTTTCTGCAGAACCATAGCAGCAACGCGCTTTCAGAGCACCTTTTTGTCTCTGATTTGTATCAGGTCAGTCATCTTTGGCACTACTGGCGGTGTGACCTTTCTGTTGGAGCGCTCGTTTCATCTCCTCTATCTGCTCTTCTAGCTTCTTCCTCTCCTTGAGGAAGCGGATAAAAAGGAAGAGCCCAAACTCTTGAATATAACAATGATCAATGATGATCAATGATGTAGCACTGAAAAGACCCGAACCAGGGATCCAAAGAAATAGAAAAACTTGCAACCACACTTAGACTTGGCCTGGCATCCTCGTCACCACCCGAGCTGCCCATGCCTCCCATACCGCCAAAGGCAGTGCCCATAAATGGGCCTCCAGGGACACAATAGGGACACAACAATGCCATGCAGTGCCCCTCTCCCCATCCCTACCCAGAAGTAACAACAATTCGTACCCTCCTGACGTTGGCCGAATCAACCGTTACCACCAACAAACCAACATGCCTTTAGATGATGTCCAAGTGGTACCAGGTTTGTCCATTGTCCACTCACTGCTTGTGATCATTGTCCGGCCTTGGCCATGCTTCAAAGCCTGCTGCTTGTGGAGTTCCTCTGCCTGCTTGTCCAGCCATTGGTCATACTCCACGATGTCCTTGGGCAATCGGAATTTCCTCATGTCCAAAGCCACATCCAGAAACCTCGCCGCATGGCAGTGCTGTGGGCTCGACAAAAGTGCTGTTTGGATCAGACGTGCAAGACTTCCCAACCAAATGCAACTTCTGATGCTTTTGTGTTGGTGTTGGCAAGTGCCTCAACTTTATCATAAAAAGCACACAAAATACCTCGCTCCAAGTGCGGAGACGAAACTCAATGCGCTCGTGGGAGTGGAAGTAATCCCAGAATTCGTCGCTGGCCAAGGGCCAAAGGACTAAACGCAAGAAACGCACGGTCCAAGAGGGATGAACTACATGGATCGCCTCCCAGCAATGCAAAGCAAATGTGGCTTGTCATTTTTGTCATGAAGTTGTTATGTTCTTCCCAGGTGCGCCAGCTAATTATTGGACACCGACAATACCCTTTCTGAAATAGAATGTGCTGGCATATACACATGTACCAGCTATATATCACGGGTTGATGTGCTCCATTCCCGTCTCAGTGAGCTGCCTCCAGGTTCTTTGCGTATTTTTCATGAAGGCTTTCGGAAAATCTCCATGCCATCCATGGCCCAACGCGATGGTCACTCTGCTGCACCCAGACCACCGCGAAGCGGGTATCCTCTCCACAAACTTTTGTCAGACTGTTGTGAGCCCATCCATCCATCTACCTATCTAGTCTATACTAGTATGCAATAAGCCTCAGGACTTTGACACACAATTACAAGCACGCCAAAGAGTCAAGGGGTCCTCCTCTGCAACCACCTTGTGCATTTTTGAGAGCGCAAAGCCCAGAAGTTCTCTCATGTTGATTTGGTAGTCTGTTTCACCTTGGGGACCTCTGGGCGCCAAAACAAAGACTCGAGAGCCTTGCTTGGTCCTTAGGTGCTAATGAGAAGAATAGCTTCATAAATTTAGGGGGCGCAGTGGGAGCAACTGGAAGTGTTGACTCAGATCTGACTCCTCTGTTTTTGTGACCAACACACAGCGAGGCCAAGGCTCTTTACATCGCTCCACCATGCTAGGCGATCGTACCAGTCCTCCTGTTTCCTCTGGGGCACTTGCTGGCCCAACGCCACATATTCGTTGTAGCGAACTAAAGCCTTGGTTGCCCAAGACCTGTTGGGCAAAAAAAGACCCAGGTCAAAGAATTTGAAATACTTCAACCCGAAGAAAAATACAATCCCCAAATATCGCCAACTAAACTATACTGCAAATATATGTTGTCTAATGGTTATGTAAGTAGGTGCAGAGAGAGAGAGAGAGAGTGTGCAAATGTCTGCCTGGTCTCTCATGTAATATATGTAATCCTCGTTGATTATGCTGCTAATTCATGCTAATTTGTGTTAGCAGCTCGTTCCTTCTCCTCCTGCACGGTTTTGCATCGCCTTTGGCAGGTCAAGAGCCGCAGGAATCCCGCGATGCGACTGAGCGCCGTGGGCTTTGGCTCGGGGCTCTTCAGCGGCTCCGACAGCTTCTCGCCGGTCTCAGACATCGTCACCATGGCCAGGCAACCCGGAAACCGGGAGCACAAAAGAACTGAACTGTTTGAATTGAAGGCTGCACATGCACAGTGAGATGGCAAGTCAATAGTCAAGGGCTAATGCAGGAACATGTCCACCATGCCCACCGGGGCAAACGATTGGCGACCAAGATCTCGCAACCAGCCTATCTCACCTTCAAACTACTGCAGCTTCAAGTAACAAATGTAACAACTACAGTACTCCTTCCCCAGCCACCAGTGTCTGCCAGTGTCCTGATGTGGCAGCAGCTTCCCTTGCTCGTCGCGCGGGCTGAGACTCACCTCCAAGGCCGTCGCCAAGGACGGAAGAATGCCTCGGAAGGCCCGCAAAAGCAGCCGCAATCCTATCCCTACCTCCTACACGTGCAGAACAAAACGCAGGCTCTGCGGCTGCGGGTCGCATCAGGGTGTGCCTTTAGAAGGCGTCTGGTTTTTGCAATCACCAAACCAATCACTCACACTATGACTATGAAATCTGCCCGCGCCGAAGGTGCTGAGGCGTTTTTGTGCACCCGCATTAATATTAATTAATCAGAAGCAATTGCAATTTCAATAGCTATTAAGCTTTGGTCTTGGCTGGTGGGAATTTGGGGGGCCCTTTATTGCTCGAGAATCTTGTGTTTTTCGATGTTTTTCGACTTTTTTGAAAAGGCCAAAAAGCGGGTGAGTTGCCAAACTTGGGCTCTACATGCTGAAAATGGGCCCAACATGGGCCCAACATAGGCCCAACATAACATGAGCCCGACATAGGCCCAACATGGCCCAACATGCCTCACCATGGGCCCAGTATAGGTCCAACATGGGCGCAACATAGGCCCAACACAAGGCCGACATAGAGTCAACATCGACCAAACATACTCCCAACATGAGCCCTGCCTACACAGGCCCAACATAGAACACATATGGTGTTATTGGAACTCCAGAGCTAAGACTACGGTGCGGGCGGTTGTTGTCGCGAAGCGACCAGCATATGGAGGATTGGGTGGCTTTGCCCAAATTTAATAGATTTTCTCTGCAACGGTTGCTTCAGGTCTTGGACTCGCCTTTCTTGTGGGACAGCAAAACCACTGACCGTCCTGACCGATTTTTTGATGGTGAGAGAGAATTACTCATCCAGCACATAGAAGCCGAACATCTTCAAAGGTGAGCAAAAAATAGAGGAGACGACCCACTCTATTGTCCAAATGTGCACAAGCACATTCGCAGGCTTGCAAGAGTCCATCGCAGCAGCACAAAAAGAAATGCAAAACACATCCTGATCCCAGCCAAATGTGTCTGCTACGCTGCTACATTCCTTCACACCTTCACACGCAGGCCGTGGGATCCTGCCGGGCCCACCGTGCCATGTGCAACCCAAGTGGCTCACAATCTGAACTGTAATGATCTCTCGATGCTGCAACCCAGCAAGATCCAGAAATGCCACAAAAATCGTGGCAGCTTGGAAGAGTACCTGGGAAAATTATGCGGCCACACAATTTCACATGACTTCAGCTTTGCTAGCGCAATCCAGCACCCTCTTGAAAACTTCAAGGCAAGTAGCCCGAAGAACACAGCAACATTCCGCAGGTTCAAAATGAAATGCATTCACCCTGCTCAAATACTCCCAGAGGATCGATATCAAAACATATCAAACATGATAACATACTATATAAGTCATGCTAGGTCTTGAACTTAGAGTCTCTTGCAGATACAATCCCTGCAGCCAAACGTAGCTGCACCAAGGCACCACCAACGCAAAGCCCAATGTGGGCGTTCGGTTCTCAACAATGGCGTGGCAAATGCAGTAGTACGTCAGCGCCTGCAAAATGTGATTCCTCAGTTGCCAAAAACACTCTGCAGCTGTCAAGTCTGGTAGGACAACGCCCTTTGACAGTGAAATTGCGTCCAAACTTGATCCAGCTAAATATGCTCCCTCCGGATTGCCTGCACACTAGATCTCAGCTGCAATTCGAACATCAATTAAGAACCGCGACTCAGTTTGCAGCCAAAGGGGCAATCCTAAGCCCAGACAAACACGGCAATAGGCATCGTAGCACTGCCATTTGAACTGTAGCTGTCCTTAGTCAAGCTGGCATTGAACAAATGTGCTAAGTTTGCTATCGGATGCCTTTACCATTCCAGAATAAATTTTGCCATGTCTTGCACATAACATCTGCATCATTCTTGCGAAGTTCGAGACGTGACATCACAAGGAACGAAAGCCGTTAGTAGGGAGGTAAGCGGTCTTTTTCCGCGCAAGGCGAGAGATTCACGGCTGCAGTGCGAATTCACGTTATGTGTCCGCCACCCTACCCATCTTTTCGGAGGGGTAAATCTTCCAGCATGGATGCTTCTCAAAATCCAAATCCCCCAAATCGTCCCCTAAACCATTAGTTTTGCCAAAAAAAAAAGTTTGTCCCCAGATCGCGAAGCTATTGGGGTTCTTACTATTTTGGAGCTGGGGTGTTGGGGCCTGATGGATACGCCGCATCAAAAACGGAGAATGTTTGGTTGCTGCCCCAAAAAAAAAAACTTTTGCTATCTGGGATCTATGCTATGCAATGCTGGCGTAATTTGTAGCGAGGGGCATCATATTTATATTCTATTTTATATGTGTGTGTGCGTTCGTGCGTGCGTGCGTGAATCGTGCGTGCCGTGCGTGATCGTGCGTGCGCGGGACGTCGTGCGTGCGTGATCGTGCGTGCGTGATCGTGCGTGCGTGATCTTGCGTGCGTGATCGTGCGTGCGTGATCGTGTGATCGTGCGTGCGTGCGTGCGTGATCGTGCGTGCGTGCGTGCGTGCTCGTGCGTGCGTGCGTGCGTGCGTGCGTGATCGTGCGTGCGTGCGTGCGTGCGTGTGCGCGGGCTGATCGTTCGTGCGTTGCCGTGCGTGATCGGGCGTGCGTGGGCGCGGGCTCGCGCCGGGCGGCGCAGGCGGGCGGGCCGGGCGCGCTCGGGGCGGCTGGCGCGCGGGCGGGCGCGGGGTTGGGCCGGGCGGGCGGGTGGCGGGTGGGTGGGTGGGTTGGGCGGGTGGGTGGGTGGGTGTGTGTGTGTGTACCGTCTGAATAGACGTAAAACTTCTTTTACTTATTACATATGTATATACGCGGGGGGTCACCGGGGTCCCTGGGAGGTCGGTGACCAACGAAGACACCTCCCGGGGACCCGTGTAAACGTACCCGCGGGACTGTAGTGACGCACCTGGGCGCAATTGTAAGACGCAGCTGGTGGTCACCATAGTCCCATATATATATATACCTAGCACCACCTTTCGGACTAAAATTTAAGCCTTTTCCTAAAAGGATCCTTTTAGATCTTGGGGCTGAAAATTAGACCTCGGGCGGATTTTGCCATTCAGTCAGATTTTGCCATTATAACCAGGGCAGGCTCAAGGATTATTCCCATTGTTTTTTGATTTTGAAAGACGATAGTCGGGCAGATTTACCCACTATTCGGGCGGATTCTCCCACTATTCAGGCGGATTTTCCCAAACTGCATGCTCTTGATGTTTCTTGAATGAAGCTGCCTCGTAGTTAAAACACCATATACTCAAAAAGGCTTCAGGCAGATTTTTGGGACTCCGGCGGATTTTAAGAACTCGGGCAGAAAAACAGCCTTTTTGAGCTCGGGCTGAAATTTAAGTCTGAGGCCCTAGGTATCCGCTCATATCCAGGCAGAGGGCTCTGCTCGTAGCGCACGGCAAATCATCTGCTGAATAAAAAAAGGTTGGTCCCTCAGGATGAAAAGTTTAAGGGTGAAACTCAAACGTAAATCAATGCAAGGAAAAAGGTTTCGATCGACGCAGCTGTGAAACGAAAAGTCATGTGGATGCAACCGCCTGTTTTCGTAGAATCGTCTCCTTGGCCTAGATGATTCTGCTTTGTTCGGTAGAACTTGCTGCTTTCATTTTTGATTTTGCTCTGCCGGTACCCAATCGGGTGGTACCGGGGGAGGATTGAGGGTGGCACCATCGAGTCAATTGGGAGATTATTGTGGCATACTGCCACCCAAAAGTTCTGCCGCAAAGTCGGCACCAGAGGCGCCCATATGTTGTTAAGTCAGAAGAATTTTTGCCAAGCAACCTGTTCCAGTATAGTTTGTGTTGTGGTTTTTGGTTGTAGACCTCATGCAACTTTGCCTCCATTTCGTCTAAACGGGCTTTGGCTCTATGCTTTCCCGGCGTGGACATCCAGGAGGAGGAATGCAAGTTGGCATAAGGACAAACTTTTTTCAATATTTTGAGGTTAACATGCTCAAGCCTTGATGTTTGCACCCCACATTTGACGCAGAACGCGCCAGTACCGAAATGCCGAATTCGGTGGCCCCTTTGGTCTTGTTCCACCATGGGCGCCGCTGCTGTGGGATGTGAGCTCGAAGAGGCTGAGGGCTGAGGAGCGTCATCAGAGGGATCTTCGTTGCCTGTGTGAGCCGGAGCAGAATGAGGACTCAACTGTGGATCCGCTCCATCCGGGTCCCATCCGTCGACGTCATGGTCATGCCACTCAGTAATATGTTGTTGCCAGATGTTGACCAAAACTTCCTTAATTTGTAAAACCTGTGCCTGCGAAAAATTCATTGTGGTGGTCGGCAGCGCTGCATATTGGAAAAACGGAGGAGCTCGCAGTATTCGAGTCAACAATGAACGAATGGGAGCTCGCAAATTAGCATATTTTCTGCAATGCCAATGTATATGTTCCACTTCGTTAGGGACTCCACAAACTGAACATTGAACACTTTGCCGAAAACGATGGCGATCATCCCGCGACGGGGACATCAAACCTCCAGTGAGGATGTAGATCAAAATTTTGCTCCTTGGACGCGGGTCTTGTTGCAAGTGTGGACCCGGGAGACTGTGGTCCAAAACTTTTTGGAAACCATCGGCTTGAGAGTGCCACTTCTGTAAAAGTTCAATTGCAAGAGCACGATCAACGTGCTGTAGACCTTCAAAAGCAGGCCGAGCCCGAGCAATGATAGTCCAATGGTGTGAACGCCAAACTGCACGAAGGCCATGTTCCCATGACCGGTCCGAAGAGTCATGAAGAAGAATATGTTGCAGTGCCGCAGTGTAAATGGGATCAGATGAAGTTGCTGAGCTCGTTTCAAAGGACCACTCTGTTGCAAGGAGGCCCCATTCAAGTGTTGCAAAATGAAATTCCTGTTGTTGTGATGCCTGCAGAAACGTTGTAAAGCTCTGAGAGCTGCCAGCTGCAAGGCAAACAAAGGTTCGAGCGATGGCTGAACAACGATAGTGAAAAGAATCATAGGCGTCAAACTATAAAAACCAATGCGGAGCAGGGCCCTGGTCATGGTGGCTCTCAATGTGGTCAGCCTGGCTGAAGGAATTTGCAAATCATGCGTGCCCTGACCCCAAGTCAGTTTGCTCAGTAATTGCCTCTGAGCTTGGACACGGTCTTTCCAACCCAAAGGCAAAAGACTGCAGTTGTGCGCTGAAACCATCCAATCTTCAATCCGCTTCTGTAAAAGTGGGGTCCAGGAAGAAGACCCACCACAAGTGATGCTCCCTCCCACAAGACGAAATGTATCCTTGTGATGCGTTATTGCAGGGACCAAATGTTGAACTTGCGAAGCGCCATATGTAAAACATTTCTCCGGGTTCAACCTTCCACCGCTGAGGTCTGCAAATCTCTGAACGGAAGCATGGGTCAGTCGCAAGTGATCACGAAGGCTGTTGAGGTCAGCAGCTACAACAGTTGCGCTGATATCGTCCACGTACAGTCGTGGTTTGATTGACACCTGAGCCATGCCAAAATTGCCATTCGAAAGCTTTTCCAACCAGCATGCGACCAAACTTGCTAAAATAATATTACTCAAAGGATCACCTTGTATAATGCCATTGCTGGGCTTGTAGGCTTCGCTAAAGGCACACCCCAGCTTGAAGTGCTTACAGTGTTGTTTGTAAAAAGCGCGAAGACCCTGCAAAACCGACAAAGGAGCTCCTCGATACAAGAGAGTATCTATGGCCATGGAAGGAATGACGTGGTCGTAGCACTTGGCAAAATCATACGATAGGCCGGCACACCATTCATCGTTGACTTCAGCATTTTCCAGTAAAGAGCTGACGTCCATCGCCATATCGTCGGCACCTTGGCCACTGCGAAGCGCAAAAACTTCTTCAGGAAGAACTCTGAGGATCCATGGTTTGAGTTGACGGCACCGTGTTCGGCTCCAGCTTCTGTACAGCGCGCTCAAAACAGTAATAGGACGCATGTCCATGGGGTCCTCTATATGACCTTCCGAGTTAACTTTCTTAGGCAACATCGCGACGTAACCAGTAGTCCACGAGGTTGGCCATTGAGAAGAAGTTTCACACACATTCATCAAGGAAGCCAAATGTTGAAATAGTACCGGACACGTTTGACCCAAAAGTTTCAAATCTTGCGGCCGCCAACCGTCCAAGCCAGCGGCACTTGGACGCAAGGATTGCATTGTAAGTAACAAGTCGTTCGCAGTCAAAGGATCCAAGTCACATTGCTCCCGTTTCATGGTTGGCCCAAATTCTTGAATAAAATTCCAGGTAGAAGGAGCTTGACTACGATAACGACCAAAAATTTTGTCCCAAGCCTTGATCAGAGTGTCCAATTGGCGAGAGGGATCCATTGTAAGGTGTCCAGCAAGTTTCATGACAGAATAAGAATAATGTTTTTGATGCTGCAAAATCGGTGATTCCTGTGTAGCCTGACGCGCTTTGCGCCAAGCTGCTGCTTTTCCGGCACTGCAGCGCATTGTCTGTTTCCAAAGTTTAAGACGGTGCTTACTTTGCTGAGCCTGCACATAGTCAATAACCTTTTGCAAAATGGTGGCTACTGCTTCAGCATTTGCCACACTGGGAGCACCTTGGAAAATGACCTCCAGCTCATGATTCCACGGGAAAGGACAATCGTGTGATATTTGCTTTAAATTGTGCCAAGTGCGAAGAATCCGGGGACCAGGCAAAGCTTTGCAAATCTCCCATGCACGTCGGAAGGCCTTACCCAAACGCCGAAGTTGTAAGCAATCCGCATGTTCATGCAAAACCCTAGGAAGCTGACGAGTAGAATCCAGTTGAATTTTGCCACGAGGTTGACCTAATCTTGTGATGGGACCAATTTGGTCATGTTGAAGGTGAATTAAAACTGCTTCGGCCTGTTTTGACCACAAAGCTGCGGCCTGCTCAACATCTCTTTGTTCCAACGCAGTGAAAAATTCTCTGGGCATGTCCATATGAAATACCTGATTGCTGGCACGAAGATGATCAAAATTGAAACTTTGGCGAGGAGTCAAGCGAGGAACGGCCCGCTTGTTGTTCAAAATACCAACTTCCAAAATATCATGACCCCGGTCAGTAAACGGGTTGCTATGCGTCTCAAAAGTCAAAATGATGGGAAGACAATTAACAGAACACCAGATGTGATCAATGCGAGAACCAGAACCTTTGTGACAAGTAAATGTGGGACCCCCCGACTGTAGACCTGACAAATCTTGCCACGGATCGCCCAATAATGTTTGCAGAAATGGAGTGGCTTCAACTTCAGCATTGAAATCTCCTACCAACACGCTCGGAAGGTTACGGGCCATCATGTCAGAAGTAACCGCCCGAAGCATTTGCTGCAGGTACCGCTTAGCCAAAGCGGTTTCTCTGGCCCCAGCCGGACCATAAATGTTGTAAATCAGCAGAGCACTGTTGTCATGTCGATGCACCAAGATGGCTTGTAAACGCGCATCTTTCCAAAATTGAAAGCAGCAATGATCCTGAGGCCAAACAATGGGAGTGATGTTTGCAAATTTTGATGGATTGATGATGATTCCAACGCCACAACGCGACGTGCCCAAAATGGGCGCACCCCACAAGCAATGTAAAGAAGTAGAGCTGGTCAAGACTTGTTGTTTACTGGCTGAAAGGTGGGTCTCTTGAAGACACAAAATGTCATATTCGTAGCTTAGCAAAGTGTTCCACCTGCCACTCTTGGTGAGGCCATCTGCATTGAAAGAGCCCAGCCAACAAGTGGGAATGGAGTCTGTTCCATTACCATGCAAAGCCCTCATCTGTTGCGATCGCTGTGCGCAACAAACTGAAGCCCAACCACGTTTAACGAGGGTAGGCGAAGTGAAACCACTCGTTTGGAGCCAAAATGGACCCTCACTCTTGCTAAGTCTTCTGTCTTTGCGCCTCCGGCGTGGTGCCGGTCTTCTCACCTGGACGCTTGTTTTGCGGTGTGACTGACTCCAAAAAATCTTTCTGCTGCTTGCCAAGCTGACCAACTTTGCTTGGCAATGAGGCACTTGCTTTTGCAACCGCCGATGCTGTAGCCCGTTGGGACAAGGCTCTAGCTGCACTGTTGACCGCCTTGAACTTGATCTGCACGGCATGACCGTTTGGAGCCTGAAGTTGCAAAGGAGAATTCTGTCCCAGCGAATCTGCGAGAAAACTGAGACTCTTGGCATCAAAATGTTCAACCACATAGGGATTCCAGCCTTGATCTTTGAGAAACTGGACCGCACCTGCAAGGCCGGTGGCCACCGGCAGACCATAGAGCTTCCAG